TGCATTGATCCATGTCACTTTAGTTTTGCGTATTTCACAGTACATAAATTATATTTCAATAAAATGCATTAAAAAAAATTCACAGCTAAGTGATTTCCACACCTTTAATGTGAGAGATTCATTATCAACTTTTCCCTCATTCAACAAATATTTACTGTGTGCTTACTATGTACTGGGCACTATTCGAGGCATGGGGGACACAATGGTTAAAACGACAAGCATAGCATAGTAGTTCTTGTGGAGCTTCTTTCACTGTAATCATCAATCACCAAGTGTTTGCTTTTCTATTACAAGTTATTCCCATAGTATGCATAGCCCATCATTTGTCCCTATGTCAAACGTTTTATTGTTGTTCTTGTTGTTGTATGCCATCAAATCAATGTTAACTCACAGTGACCCTATATGACAGAGAACTGCCCCCTAGAGTTTCCTAGGTTGTAATCTTTATGGGAACAGACTGCCAGGTCTTTTCTCCCACAGAGCTGATGGGTTCAAAGCACCACCCTTTCAATTAGTTTTTGGTTTTTTTTTTCTATTTAACATTACAAAAAACTTAATTTTGTTTTTACCTAAATAATGATTGTGAAAAAGCTGAAATTAATCATAGTATTTACTCTCTCAGCAGAAATGGCTAAAAAAATGTGAGATTAATTCTAACATTTTTAAATAGTTCTAATTCTCCATTTTCACATAGATATTGAATTTATTTTGAAGGCTTAGTTTCTTTTTAATGTGTTACAAATTCTGCTAATAAACCAAGCACATATATAACTTCTATTCTAAAAGTACTAATAACTCTTTCAAGAATATTCTAAAGACTCTGTGAAAAAGTAGTATTTCACAATTACAAAGCAGTTCAATTTCAACTATTCCTCCCATCCGTTATATAACTTTAATAGCTACTGAATTTTCATCCAAGAAAGCCCAATCCTTCTTTCCTATGCATCTCCACTATGGCCAGTGTAGACTATCTTTCTAGACTCTATCCCTAGAATTCTCCCATGGGTCAGCAATATATGCAGTTGCCTGGATATATCACACTTTGTTTATGCTGTTTGATTAAGTAGTCTTTCATTTAATCACTACTTATCAGAACTCTACAGTAATTTACTTATATATTCACTCATTCATTGCATATCTTTGTTCCAAACAATATACCTGGTCATCACAATTCAGAGAATATATAACGCAGCCCATGCTTGAAAGATGTGAAGACCAGGAGCAAGACATACCATCCCTTCTCTCATAGGTAGGCAAAATGCATAAAAACATATCACTTCAATAAAGTTAAGAATTAAAACTAGTTGTTACAAAGTCGATTCTGACTCATGGTGACCCCATGTGTGTCACAGTATAACTGTACTTCATACAGTTTTCAGCAGTTGAGTTTTTGGAAGTAGATCACCAAATTTTTCTTCCAAGATGACTCTGGTAGACTCACTGCCAACCTTTTAGTTAGTAGCCAAATGTGTTAACCATTTGCACTACCCAAGGACTCTAAAATATTAGGAATTATTGTATAATTAAATAGTAGTAAGAGTGGACACATAAATGCTTATGGAAAGTCTGAGGACAAAGAAAAAGTAAAGTGAATCTGAACACTCTTAATAAAGACCTACCTAAATGAGACATAAGGATTTAGAGCAAGGAGAGTATTTCAATATAAACAAAGAGACAGAATCTAGAAGAGATTCATATGGAATATGTGTGAAGGTAGGGGGCTTAGTTGGAGAGACCGCATAGAAGAGAGCCTCTTACTTAGAAAGAGGTTTATGCTAGGGAGTAGAAAGTAACATGAAAAACTGATGCTGAGATCAAATAGGGGTGATGATGAGGGAGTGATCTGAACGACTGAAAGGAGTTTACTAATGTTCCAAGTGGCAGAAAGGGCATTATATTATGCTATTAAAATTTTGCTAGAAAATTTACAACCAGGGGAAAATAATAAAGAAATGAAGATATAAAAACAGTAGCTACATTTTAAAGGAAGCACTGGTAGAACTCTCAATTTCCACACAGGAGACGCAGGGCCAATGCACCTCACGCGCAGCCACCACCCTCTGTCAGTGGTGGTTTGTATAATGTCATGGTGCTGAACAAGATTTAGCAGAGCTTTGACACTACAACCATGCAGTTCTGCAGGGAGTTTCCATGAGCTGGTGGCTAACCCAATGGCAGCAAACAACACCTTTTCCTGAATGGTTACTGTATACTAAGCAGTATGTTAATTTATTTCTTTTACAACTTTATAAGGCTAACAGATCATCCCTATCTTATATAAATGTTTCAAACACTAAAAAAAAAAGTAAAGAATTTCCGATTTCTTTTTAAGAGATTAGTACAATCTTGATATCAAAATCACACAAGGACAGTACCATTAAAAAAAAAAATTTCACTTGTAAACCAATTTCACTTACAAATGCAAATGCAAAATGATCATCAATCAAATCCAGCAATACACTGAAAAAAAAAGAAGCAAAGCAAAGGTAGTTTGACTTCAGAAAATCTATCAGTATACTTCACTACATGTAAGTGAATTAAGGAGCCCTGGTAGTGCAATGGTTAAGTGATGGGTTGCTAACTGAAAGTTTGGTGGTTCAAACCCACCAGGTGCTCCAGCGGAGAAAGATGTAGCAGTCTGCCTCTGTAAAGATGACAGCTTTGGAAACCCTATGGGGCAGTTTTACTGTCCTAGAAGGTCGCTAGGAGTCAGAATCAACTCAATGGCAGTGGGTTTTTGTTTTAAGTAGATTAACTGGTTAAAGGTGAAAATCCACATGAGATATCTCAATAAATGCACAAAAGGCATTTGATAAAATTTAACATTTAATGATGATTAAAAAAAAAATCTTAGGAATTTCCTTAATTAAAGGATATATAGTAAAACCTAGAGCAAATATTATACAAAACACTGAAATTCAGAATCATTCCAATTGAAGTTAGAAACATGGCAAGAATAGCTATACCATATTTTCTTTACGTCTACATGTCCTAGCTAATACCCTAAGATAAAAAAAAAGTCTTTTCAAAAAATTTAACAAATGACAGATCTCTACACTGAAAACTACAAAACATTGCTGAGAAAAACTAAACATCACCTAAATAAATCTATCTATTAGGAACACATATGAATGTCAAAATCATTATACCAAAAGAATCAAACTCACTGCCATCAAGTTGACCCGATCATAGCAACCCCTCCTTGGGTTTCCAAGGTAGTATCACTACGGAAGCAGACTGCCCGACCTTCCTTGGGAGGAGTGGCTGGTGGGTTTGAACCTCCAGCCTTCTAGTTAGCAGTCAAATGCCTAAGGCACTATGCCATCAGACCTCCCTACTGACATTTAAAAAAAAGCCAGATACAATGCAGTACATAGTTTATGATTTCATTTATAAAAAAAACTCTAGAAAATAGAAACTAGTCTATAATGAAAAGAATAAATTACTGTTGACTAGGGTCAGAAGCAGCAGAAGGGATAGACTATAAAAAGATAAAACTTTTAGAATGATGGAAATGTTTTGTATCTTGATTGTGATATGGGTGCATATATCTGTCAAAATTCATCAAACAATACACTGTACATAAATTATAACTCAATAAAGTTAACTATAAAAAACAAAGTGATAATGTTGCAATTCAAGGGGGAAAAACTTCTTTTGGCATGGTGATTTGGTTCAGCCTTTCTAGTAATGAAGCAATAAATAACCAAAGCCCTATTCCTTCAAGCAGTAATTTCCCAACAGGAAATTTCATATCAGAGTAGATTCATTAGAACCTTAGAAATTATACATTATTTTATAAATGATTAAGGATCAACAAAGTAGTTTTTATCATACTGCTTCTTGGCAAAAAAAAAAAAAAAAAAAAAAAAAAAATAGTCTAATAAC